CGTGTCATGGAAACCCAACCACTGCATATAGTCCCCATCGAACTCGGGGAGTGAAATTGTGGGCAGCTTTAACCCAGAGAGAGCGGAATTATGGCCAATAGGTTGAGGGATTCGAGCGTCATTAGAAAGAACAGGAAGTTTAGATGTTAGATCGGCTTTTATTGCGAACAGCCTCTCTTCAAAGGCAGAACGTACCTCCTCATGCATTCGCTTACCTTGTTCGTCCTGCTCGATGGACTCCAGCTCCGTCTGCACGTCCTCCAACCTAGCCCAAACGTTTTCTATGTGGTCCAGCCGAATCTGAACCTGTCTTGCGTCCCTCGCAGCATCGTAGGCCTCAAGAAATGCCTCAGCCCGACCCAGAGCGGCGAGAAGACTCTCCCTCCGTGAAAGCAGCGCTTGGTTGTTGCTCCTGGGTTCTTCCATAGTGCAGCGACGAATCCAACTCCAACGGGATGTAGCCAAGAATGACGAGCACTAGTCAAAAAGAAGACCACGGTAGACCCGGAGAGTGACAGATATTTGCTTGGAAAGGTACTCACCTAGTCCAAGGCTTAGCGTGCCTTGATTTAATCAAAATCTTCAGGTATTCGACGAAACAGCCACCGAGATGAAAATCAATGCGCTGAATACGCAACTGTATGCTTGATGCACGTGCGTAGCGATGTAGAAAATGCGCGGCTTGGCTGAAGAATGCTCCAGAAGAAAGCCTCAATTGTCCGCCGAAGAACAGTAGCGGACCTGTATTGTGATCCACACAATGAAACAGCTCGAAGATGGCGCCGGATGGCCAACGTGGTGTGCCCCAATCAAGGATGGCGGCAATCGAGTTCTCGAACCTTCGAGACAGGTGCTTGAACGGAAAGAAACGAAGATCTAAAGCGTACCTGAGAGATACGTGGGAAGAATCGGACAGGTAATTACCTGGAATCCGATTGAGCGAGCCTTGTATCAAATACAAATCAGAAAAACTCGAACAATCGACAGCTAGCAGGTGCTTCACCTTCGACCAGCAATGGCGCGTTCAGCCGGTCTTCTATTGTTCCGGACTGGAATAATGGCGGTCCCGTAGTGTCCACCGGCCGTTTATCCTGGTCACGGCACCAAAAAATGTTCAAACTTACTCCTACGTTGTGTCTCAACTTTACGAATTATGGCCACAGCACGGCCCCAGTGTGCGCACAGGGAAGAAAGTGCATACGATGCACTTCACAATAGCAGAGATGCCAGTACTCCGAATGTCACTGACAAGACGACCAGAGCAATACACACACTTGCAGGTTTTGGATTGCACCAAACTTAGAACAAGAAGAGTTCTTCCACACCTTTTATTTCACCAGAAATATTAAGTTTAAATTTTAGGTTTATTCACTTTGAGCTACTACTAAAGACTGACTGATCTAAACAAATGATGATGGGAGGAAATGATGATCATGACGAAAAACCCGAATACAAGTAACCGAAGACATAAGGTTGCCAGTATAACTAGATAATTTCGCCTGAACGGGCGAAAATGCGGTGCTGTATGGGCTCGCTACCAAAAACTTCACATTATGTTTCATCAATTAGTTTTTTAGCAAATGTATTTCGATACAAGGTTAGAGCATATAATTTGCCATATATTTTCACAAAAAAAACCATGAAAATTTATTTCAAATTTGGGTCAGAAACTGGAGCAGTACTACTACTAGCACCTATTTTTTCAACATACAGTAGAGTAACATAACGGCCTGTTTTTAGTAACAACAATATTCGTGCGCACGTATATCCTATATCCTTGCCGACCGAGAGCTTGAAAACTTGTGGCAGTCGTATTTCATAATCTACTTGATCAGAAAGGTTTGATCATACGCATGGATGTTAATTTGCAGTTAACTTTAATATATCATGAAAATTCCATAAATAATTGAAGAATTCCCAGTTTAAAATCTAAAAGTTTCAATAAAAAAAATCAATCTGAGTATACTTAAAAAAATGTTATTAAAAAATCAAATGAGCACATAAAAACTAAAAGACGGCAATAAAAATTAAAGAAGTTCCAATAAACCCACAAAAAAAGCAAAAACGCTAGCTTGTTTAATTGGAATTTTTTCTATGATTTTACTATTACTGATTATTTTATTGCAACTTTTAGAATTTTAATTGGAAATGCTCTCATTATTTCATTCTCAAGCCAAAGTCACGAATATTCTTGATTATTTAATACTTAAATATATGTTTTCTATTGCCACTTTAAAAATTTTTGCTGTATCTTTGCATTTTATCCTTGCTCTTTTCTTACGAAGAAATTTATTTTTTTCAATTGCAATTCAATGAAAAAGTTTCAATTGCAACCAGTCTATTTCTTATTTTCAAATTCAAGCGTCAACTGGGAGGCCATCGCAGAAGCGCTGCATAGAATGAGGTTCCCTGACTGACTACCTGTACGTATGATTCTAAGGAGTTAGTTCCAGAACCAGATTCTGGTCTACGAGATAGACATGTGACAGAGATCGATTAGGATCACGGCAGGAGTTTCACAAGGCTTCATTCTGAAACGGGATGTACAACGGCGTGCTAACGCTGAAGCTGCCCAAAGAAGTTGAGATCGTTGGCTTTGTAGACGACATAGTGTTGACGGTAACAAGCGAGACACTGGAAAAGGTGGAAATGTTGGCGACCGAGACGATCGACACGATTGTTAACTGGATGCAAGGAGCGAATGTAGACTCATCGAGTAGTTCCGATTCTTTCGACCTGGGTGAACAGGAAGCGTGGAGAGGTAAACTTTCACCTGACGCAGCTCCTATCTAGTTACGGTTGCTTCATGATGTACCTGCATCGGTTCGTATACGCTACGTTACCCCTCTGCACGGATTACTTCCATTCAATTCGCATAACATATGTTTTTACTGTATTATGAAATCATAAAATATTATGATGATATTTTGTATTTTTAAGTAACAAGAAGAGGTGTTGTACACATTAAACCTGCCAATTGTTCTTTATTAGAGCCACAATAAGCGATTTTATCTTTTTATCTCTCTCTATCTCTCTCTCTCTCTCTCTCTCTCTCTTTCTCTTTTATTCCCAATCGTTGATTGCGACTCGTTGATAGTAACATTGGCAGAATTTATGCAGAAAAAGTATAGAAATTGCTCCAGTAAAACAAACAAAAAATCCAGCGAAAAAAAAACGGTATGTGTATCCATGAATAAAGGATTATGCACCCATAAATAAAAGAATATGTAGCCGTAAACGAAGGAATTTGTACCCATAAATAAATTAATTTGCATCCGTAAACAAAGAAATTGGTACCCATAAATAAAGGAATTTGCTCCCTTAAATAAACCCCGGCGCAGTGGTTAGTATCAATACCTCTCAGGCCAAAGTCACGAGTTCAAATGTCATCCCCAGACAAGTCACGAATAACCCCAGAGCGTTAAAGTGACTAAAATTAAAAAAAGGAATATCTACCTATAAACCTTGAAAAAATTCTCCTTTACTGCGCAGCTACTCAGATTTACTGTCCTGCTCGTATTTGTTTTAGTCAGAGGAGCGGAGCGACGAGCAAGTGTTTAAAATGAGGTTCCAAAATAAGATTCCCTTTATTTACAAGGCTTTCAGCCATCGGTTGGTTCGTCTTGGGAAATAAGATTCTTTTAGAACAAGAAGCTTCTTAAGAAGATTTTAAATGGAGCCTAATCATAAAAATCTTCTAGTAGAAGCTTTTCCGTCGCTGTGCTACTCTTACTAAATATATTCCTTTATATATGGGTACATTTTTTTTTATTTGTCGGTACAAATTCCTTTAAATATATATAGGTACATATTCCATTATTCATGGGTTGCAAATTGCTTTGGATTTGTTTTTTCCTTTTATCGGTGCAAGTTCTTATTTTTATGGGAACATTTTCTATTTTCTAGGGATAAAAGAGCTATTTCTTAGTGGTTTATGTCAATATTTAATTTGGGTGCGTTTTTTTTTAAATTACATTAAGCTACCGTAATATTCCTTTGGTTTGTTTTTTTTTCCGTCGATCTTGTTTTCCGTGCTGAGCACCAATGCTACCGACGTGCCAGGAAGGCAGCTCCCACACCTGGACCCTACCTATCGACCCATCAACTCATGAACCGGGGACCAACGGCTTTACTTCCCATCCGAAGGAAGGCGTGATCAGAGATGTTATGCCTCAGAACATTCCGGCGGCGCCGACTGGGATTGAACCCAGGCCTGCTGGGGTGAGAGGTAATCACGCTTACCACTACACCACCGGCGCCGTTCAGCTACCGTAATAAATCGAGTGTTCTTAATTCTGCAAAGCACTCAAACCTTTGCAACGTGCAGTCCTAAAATCCGAATATTGTACCTGCTTTGTTTTGCGTAAGACCGAGGTACAGACAACTGTAACTAACTGTAACTAACAAAACTATTCCATTTTTCTCTTTTATTGCTGTCCGTTGACCGTCTCAACCGTTCTTAATCGGTATAGCCTTTTGGTCGTCATTCAACAATTGGTCAGTCTAAAGCCTACCCACATGTAAGCTGAATGAAAATAAAATTCCTAGACCGAGACATGCCCGATAGCAGGCAAATTTGACTTCATTGAATCTAAATAATTTTTTGACGCCTGGCATTTAGACTAGACACACGACGATCCCTTACTGCTTACTCCTTTCTTGTCCAGCTGTTTGCCTTTTGCTAACACTTGGCTCCCTTTTATTTACAATAGGCAGCTACCAGCCAGACAGTTTTCAACTAGAAACTCGCCTTTGTCACTCGACCTGTAGCGTGTGCTATTTCTGCTGCGTATTCTTCGCTATCTTTGGCGCTAAATATATGTTCACTCGGAAAGGACAAAGGTAGCAGAAAACATGAAACTTTCATCCCCACTTCAAAACGAAGAGTATATATAAAATAAATGACCTAAATATTCTCAAGTCAGTTTACTATGATAAACAGATTAGATAACGTCGAGATCTTAGTTAAATAGTTAACAAGTAATTCAATTGTTGGTAAAATGTTGTCTAGTGGTAATGAAATGTATAGCCTAAGTGATGAGCTTTGTGTGGATGAATTATCATTCACTCCGATTCTGGAACTTGCCAAGTTAAGTGAGCCAAAGCATTGGTCTACGGAAATAGTATCACACATGGAGCTACTGTCATCTGAGGATCCACTTGGAGGAATTAAATCACCGAGAAACAGTTCTGTAATCAACTCTGCATATCACGATGTAACAGGAAATCCTGAAAACTCCGTCAAGAAGGAAGGTAAGGTCAATCATTAAAATAATTGAAATAAATATCATTCACAAAACCACAAACCCTGTTGAAGGTTACACCACTTGATTGAGGCGAAGAATATGCTCTTGTCCGAATAGGGTCGAAGGCTTTTGATGTTGATATTTATCATCATCATTTCTTATTACATCTCTCCCATCATCACAAGGCAAGGGCAATTTGTCTGCCTCCTTTTATTCGTTCAGGTGTTAGGGATGAAGAATAAAATTCACCTTGGATCTAGTGCTATCGCAACAAACACCTCACACAGAAATGATATGAGACTGGTGCAAATTCATTACTATTACATAACGTTATGTGGTATCCAGGAAATACATTTTGTGCGATTTTTATGTTTCCCAACGTAACACTAGAGTGTTATAGAATTAAAGTGACTACATAAAAATATCTATAGCAAGTAGAAATCTGCAAATGAACAAACGCAAAAGAGGAACCTGAAAGAATTCGACCCCTACTCTCATTTGCTTTGCGTAGATGTAAACACATGTTCTTAATTTTAACCCCATATTTCTTAGTTTCAGGACACCACACACCCTCTGTTACTGACACTCCAAAGTCATATGTGGCAACAAAACGTTCACGAACTGCCTTCACCAGCCAGCAGCTTGTAGAGCTGGAAAAGGAATTTCGCCAAAATCGGTACCTTTGTCGCCCCAGGAGAATTGAAATAGCCACAAAACTTTCATTAACCGAAAGACAAATTAAAATTTGGTTTCAAAATCGGCGAATGAAGCACAAAAAAGAAACCATTGGTGTGGGAGAGCTAACCAAAGAGTCAAGTATAGATAAAAATAACCGAAAAGATCCAGCAAGAAACAACTCCTCAATTACAGTTCAAAACAAAAATATTGTAAACAGACTCATGGCTCATTCCACCTATGCTCCTAGTACAATAACAATGAGGCAATTTGAAAATAAAAAAGAACAAAACGGATCATTTGAAAACGATGTCAGTTTAAAAGGTAAACTAATAACAACAACACCAAGTTGTGATGATACGCTATACGAAAATAGTTGTAGTTATTTCAATAAACCAGACTTTAGAATGCAAAATATTTCTCCAGACCTAGAAGATACATATCTTTCGGCGATGATTAATATTGGGTCCACCATAGATAGAACTACATCAATGGGAGAGTTATACAACAAAAACATCCCACCATACTTTTTAACTCATACCTCGTTAGTTCAACAAACATCAAAGAGCTGCAAATTACAGATTGGTGATCAACTATGTGACTACTCCTCAACGCAATCCTTTGGAAATGAGAAGCCAAGAAATCTCGAAACAACTCCATCTGTAACTATTCAATGGGGAAATTGTGAAAACAATAGTATTAATAATTCGTCAGAAAGTGCTAGTATTATAAATAATTCATTGATAGGAAAATACCACTATGACTCAGCGCAATTGATGGGATTTCCATTAGCTGAGCGATTTGTGCTATAAATAAGAGTTACTGTCGATAGTCATTCAAATCTGAAATTAAACTTTTGTATAAACACAAAAGTTCGTCAATTACAGAAAAAAAATAGGCAGTAATAGTAAATGGTACATACACTTAAGTTATATTTATCGAAACATTTGCAAAACACTTATTAGACAAAAATAAACTATAAAATAAACATTCTAATGGTTTTATGAATTTAAAATAAGTTTATTCCTTGGTGTTAGCCATTAAACCAGAAGGGTTTCTACGTCACTCATTTTTGGTCTCTTCAACTACTTTTCTGTGTTGCCATTATTCTAAATGGAGGTTTAATACCGACAAACCTTGAAAAACATAATTGAAATTATCAGCGTAATATCAAAACAACAGACAATTTCTATTACAATAGAGTCAAAGTTGGAAAAGTGCTATTTTCAGGTCACGTTGTCACGTCATGCATTGTCATACATCTAGTAGGATTTATTAGTGACAATATTCGTAACTAATTATTTTAAAACATAGTTAATCATGTCTTTTCTTAATCGGTGCACATAAAATGGCCATTTAATGAAGTTAATTATAAGTATTAAACAAAAAGAGTGACCACGGGCTGTACATTTGCATATCTCGTCATCTGGAATGGGTCATTCCACTTTTTCTACTTCAACTTCCGCATGCCAAAAACTGAAACCAATAACAGATGGAAGAATGCAAATCTTAATAAAATATTGAGTAACTATAGAGATTCAAATATAAATGTTAAACGAATTTTTAGAAAAATTGAATTTTGTAGGACATCCATGAGTTTTGAACGTGAGTGATTATTTGGAATAAGGGATCTATAAAATAAACAACAAATTTATTTTTCTTAATTTGTTTGTATGCTTTCAAAAAATTTAAAAAAAAAACATTTAAATGTCTTTTGTATAGGTATATTGAAAATTACAAGGTCTTAATCCAGAGTTTTTAAATATACCCCTGCTTATTTTCCCAGTCACAGACTCGTGAGTTTCTAACCCGGGTTTTTAAGGTTCTAAGTCCCGGTATATATAAAGATATCTAAGCCAGAAATTCTTAAATTTGTATTCAACTCTATAAAAGTACATCGGGGCAAGTTGAAATGCATGGAAAAGTTGAAACGAATAGCATATCTATAATCTGATTCCATTATCAACAAGAAATAAGAATGTTTGTAAAATCTAAGTTCCTTACGAGCTTAAACGTTTAAAAAATAAGCTTTAAATAATTGTCTCTATACAAAAAATACATTGAAAAAAGGTTATATAATTATGTATCCTCTTAGAAAGTTAACCCCCCCAACAAATAAAAATAGTATTATTTTATGTTCAAATATGATCTTAGATTTTACACCTCTTTTAAATTATGGACAGTGTTGCAAAAATTTTTTGCGCACTTTGTGTACACATCGTACAATATATTTTTAAGCTCATTCATTATCGTAATAGAGATTAGTGACGTTTAACGTACGCACACTAGCGGGAGCAACGCCGTGTAAAGTTGTTTATTATTTTCCTCTGGCTAACCTAAAAAATGTATGAGAGTAGATCTGTCAAAATGAGTTTGACGTCGATTTGTTATGTATTTTCCTCGGATATTCAGTAACACGCTCTCATATATCCTACCAATACAACCAGACGTAAAAACCTCTATAGGTATAAATTTGAGTAGCGCAGAACTGAACCTTGAGGATGATCTTTTATCGTCCATTTGATGCAGTAGATTGCTTTAAGAACACGTAAATAAAAAGTTTACATTATGGCTTTCCTGCTTTTTTGAAATGTTGGTCTAGAAATAATCCGATCAGATATAGCTTTTTAACATGTGTGCGAAGATTTTTTGCATTTTTCTACACCGTTTTAATCAAATAAGAACTGGGTACACGGGTACCCGTCGAGCATATGAAGTTTAAAGAAACAGAAACCCTGTTTTGATGACATCACCAACATATTAATGAAAATAGTATCAAAAAAACTATTGCGTAGTTGGAAACGAGTCAAATACCCAATACCTTTTGATTATGCTTGATAATCCAACCAACACTATTAACCTTACACCACCATAATGTTGAGGAAACTTTACCCTACATAATGGTGGTGTTAGTTTGCGTGAGCGATCTAAGAATTTCGGCAAAATTCACTCATGATTTATTGCACAAAACTGTGCATATTTTCCAGACAATAACGTCCTAAGAGAAACATTTCATCTGCGCTCAAGAACAGTTTCAAACTATGATACCTCTTCTTTTTAGTTCAATCTAAAGAGAAACACGATGTTGTTAAAACGGAAAAAAGCCAAAGGCTTAGTCGCCATTATTGTATAAAATATCAGTTTGTAGAAAACCGGACAAAGAATGGCGGCAGATAATAATCCAATGGTAACCTGAAAAAGGGATTGCATGGAAAGCGGGACTTGCCATCAAGATACGAAATAAAATTATACACATTTTCTCACATGTAGCCGATCCAAAGGCAGCCCACTTATATCTTTCTCGTACTAACTACGAACACGACGATCACGTTGAAAATTATACAAAATGAGCGCGTTGCTACTCTATGGCGACGTGAAGTCAGGAATATAAGAGAAAACGAGAGATTGCATGAGGCCTGTCATTAAACGTCATTACGTTTATAACCTATAATTGAGTTAGTATTCCCGGTTGCATGTATAATCACATCTTTTGTAGTGGTAAAGCTGATTTTATATACAACTGGAAGAGGAATGCATCAAACCACGAATATACTACTATTCACTTCCTCTCAAATAGGTACCTTTTTTTGCCCGCGGCTCAAGTTTTCTGCAGGTATTTCAGAATATCAAATTTAGTGAGTATGACAGTTACGGCACTAGTACTCCAGTGTTTGGCTTAACTCAAATATGAACATTTTCATGGTTTTATTTGCGTAGATATCGTAATATACCGAATACAAGACGGGTCAATAATGCGATTTTTTTAAAATTAAATAGGGTAGGGAACTACTTCGGCCTAATCGCCTATTTTGGGCCTATCGAGCAGAAAACTCCAAATAAATCCATGATTTCAGAGTTAACTAGTCAATTATGCGTTTGGTACGATACATTAGTTAATAAGCTTCCGAACGAAGTCAACGAGAACGCGTGACATTAATGTTTGCACCCATTATTCCCAAAAACATCCGATAGGCCGAAGTGAATTCATTGGCACTTCAATGGCGTTTCAATGCGTTAGGCCGAGTTTGGCGTCAAGAAGCAGTGTTAGACTTTTTACAATAGCTCAACGATTGGTTTCTCTTTATCAAATCTTTTGGTACGTACGGAAAGGTAAATAAATTTAGAAGCCAACAGTAATAATAACATTCCGTTTGGTGCTAAACTACGCAAAATTAAGAAAGACTAAGTGCGGGTTGTGAAGTAAAGCCGTTGGTCCCCGGTTCATGAGCTCGATAGGTAGGGTCCAGGTGTGGGAGCTGCCTCCCTGGCGTTGGTAGCATTGGTGCTCAGCACGGAAAACAAGATCGACGGAAAACAAACCAAAGGAAAAAAAAAACGTGTGTGTGTTTTATTATTATTATTTTTTATATGTTATAATAAGGTTTAGTAAAGCTTGAAAAAGCCTAGCCTGTTGAGAAATTGTAGACGGGCTGGAGAAGACTACTTCAAGGTGGTGAATGAGGAGAGTGTGGAGAGGGGGTAGAGGGGAGCGATGGTGAAGAGAGGGAAAGAGAGAGGCTTTTGGTGCTGAGCTCATATACTTCTCATACTCTCAGCGCTGCTCCTCTCTCAATTTACGTTGCAGCTCCCATAATCTGTGTGCTCTGCTGACAGCATCCCAAGTGCCCTCGACACGTTACATCGATCACATTCTCCATGGCACATCTTGCCTCAAACCTTAGAAATGCTCCGGAATTTCGTCCACATTTCAACACTCCAAACATAGGGGTGACGTGCGTATCCGAACCGATGCAGTTTCTTCCTGAAGCAACCGTGACAGGAACAGTGTCAGGTGGGAGTTGACTTCTCCATGCTTCCTGTTCACCCAGATCGATAGAATCGGTATTAACCGATGAGACCATCTACCGCTCTTCTATTGATGTTGCCATTTAGTTATCGACTCCGCTGAATCCAACAATGTTTAGGTATGTAGTACAAATAGTGGAAATAGTTAAACAATTAATCAATCCGCATCGTGCTTTCTTGCCGTGCGGATCTATAAGATTTTTGCTGAAGGAAGTGTTACTGCTACCTAAAGCAACAACAAATATAAACAGCACTTTTCAGTGCTCAATATACCTATACATTTTCTACCATGTTTGACTCTTATTCGTCTTCGATCCTTGTTTGAACCCCACTAATCCTGCTTGGATATTTATTTGGAAAATACCTCTTCAATCATTCAGATTCTTATAGTACTCTGCTACTCTGTACGTCGATTTGGATAAAAGTTTTAATGCCGCGCAAAATTAATTTGCACGATTTGCTCACGGATGATGAGAATGATCAATCATCCAGGAAAAAATCTAGTAAACTTCCCGGCTTAATGCCAAAAAGGAAAAGATTCCCCCTATTGTGATAACCACTTCCGATTTCCATGCTCTTCGCATGGAACTTTTTAACTTCGTGAAATTTAAGTTTTCACTGCAAATTGGTGGTAGCGGTGCATGCCATGTATTGGCTGAAACCTTGGACGGATTCAAACGTCTTCTCAAGTATCTTACTGAGAAACAACATCATTTTTTTACTTACGACACCAAAACTGAACGTGTGTTCAAGGTTGTCATGAAAGAACTGCCCAGTGGTGAATCCCTGAATCAGATCAAAGATGAACTGGCAAAATAACTTGGAGTTGTGCCAGTCCAAGTAATCAAAATCAAAATGAAATCCCGTCCTGGCGATTAGTGGAACGGGGTTTCTAATGATTTTTATTTAGTTCACTTCAAGGCTAGAGTTCACTTCCGGATGGTCCAGAGCAGCCATCCACGGTAGCCTGTGGCTTGAATGGCACCAGGATCAATACTGGCGGTTTGATGGTGTCGTGGCCGCCAGGATAGTTGCGACCGCTTCGTTCGAGAAGACGGAGCACTGTGGTGGTAGACTGCTGCTTGCTAATATACGACCTCCTGAAACTCCGATACCGACGCCCGAACTGGACCGGGAACCATCAGAGTACCGATGTGTGTATTCTGCGTAGTCCGCTCCGGGAATTTTGGCTACCTGAGCTAAAGTTGGTTGAAAACTTCATTCATGGCTATCAGGAAGAGTGTGATAGCGATCACTGATCCCTGGGGGACCCTTGTTTCTTCCAGAAAGCTCCTGGATTTTTCGTTTCCGATTGCAGCACGGAAGGTACCCAGCTGACGAGCTTGCCAAGTACATCTGGAGTCCAGGCTATATCCAGCGAGACAATCTCAGAGTGGTGCCACAGGTCGTATGCGTCCTTCAGCACGTCTCCCAGTGTGGCGAAGTTGGTTACTGTACCGAAGACCTGCCGAAAAGCATACTGCCGATGGTCGAGTAGGTTGTTGGTCTCCATGAAGGATTTGAGTAGCTGGTTCACCAGAACCTTGGCCATGCAGGACGTGAGGGTAATCGACCGGAACTTGGATGCGTCCCTGGATTTTCGCTTGCCTTTGGAATGGGCACAACAAGACTCTCCTTCCAAAGGGCTGAATAGGAGTCCGTGACCCAGAGCTAATTCAACAGTTCAAGCATGCAAAGCGTGTGATTCGGTGGACATCTTTGACCCCTTGTTCGCTTGGGTCAATATGTTGCGTCGTTTTTGAGAAAAAAAAATCCAAACTTTCGCTTTTTTTCGGTCTTGCAGGTAGGCGTAACCCCTTAAGGAGATTTTTAGCCTATGGCTAGTTCATCTCCGCAGCCTTTCATATTGATGAGTACAGTACCGTAGTTACCCTGTCCCGTAGTCTATTGCGTCCTCCTACGTCCTGTCGATAGCCGCCACTGGGAGAATGTGTTAGACCCATCATTTAGACTTGTAGCATGTTTTAAAACCTTGATAAAACTAGCAATGTTACTTGGGCTCTGACGTACTAATGGGAAAAATTCATCATGTGATCATAAATCTCGCCTTGTTGTGCACCCACCTTTGCGAGAGAGTCTGCCTTCTCATTGCCTGGGATTGAGCAATGTAAGGGGACCCATACAAAGGCAATCATATATGATCTTTCGAGCAGCAAACTCATCTGCTCCCTTACCTTTGAAAGGAAATAAGATGAGTGCCTACCTTGTTTCATCGACCGAATAGCCTCAATCGAACTGAGACTATCCGAGAAAATGAAGTAATGGTCTATGGGCATGTCGGAAATCATCCCCAATGCGAAGTTGATTGTTGCTAGCTCAGAAACATAAACGGAACAAGGTTCCTGAAGTTTCCGAAAGGCGGTTGAGTATTCATTGAAGACACCGAAGCCAGTGGATCCATCAATGCGTGATCCATCAGTGAAAAATCTTCCATTGCAATTGATTTGTTGGTACTTTTCAGCAAAAAATACGGGGAATTGAGATAGGTCGAAGTTGATCTGGAACTCCTTGAATAGCCTGTTTCATGGAGAGATCATATCCAATGGGGGAACTGTAGTTAGTAAAGCATACAAGAGGGGGGTTATAGCACGGAAGGCTAATATCCGATGACATATAATTAAGATAGATTCGGACGAATCTAGATTGAATGCTCAATTCGAGCATTTCTTCGAAGTTTTTAATCACAAGGTTGTTACTGACACTACATTTAATCAATATTCTTAATGAGGGCTCCCAGAAACGGTTCTGCAGGGGTTTTACTCTCGCTAGAACCTCTAGGCTCATATTGTGTGTTGAATGCATACAGCCAAGGGCAATACGTAAAAAACGATATTGAATTTATTCCAATTTAATTAGGTGGGTTTTTCTTGCTGAGAGGAAGCAAAAAGAGCCATACTCGAGAACTGAAAAAATAGTCGTTTTATACAGTTTAATTCGGTCTTCCGGGTGAGCAGCCCGCCATGTCCCGGAAATTGATCGTAGAAAGGTGATCCTTTGTTGAAACTTTTGTTTCAAATACGTAATGTGGGTACAAGGGGGTACTATGCTAAGGGGAGCTCAGTCGGTAAAGGCGCAGCTACAAAGCAAGACCATGCTGTAGGTGGCTGCGTTCGATTCCCGGTCCAGTCTAGGAATTTTTCGGGTAGGAAAATTTCTCGACTTCCCTGGGCATAGAGTATGATTGGACTTGCCACACAATTATACCTATCCAAAAATGGTACAGTCATCGAAAGCTCTCAATTAATAACTGTGGAAGTGCATCTAGAACACTAAGTTGAGAGCACGCAATAAGCTAATATGCGATATGCAATAAGCTTGAAATGCGAAGAAGAAGAAGAAGAAGAAGAAGAAGAAGAAGAAGAAGAAGAAGGGTACACCAATTACATTTTGAATCAAACCAGACTCCAAGTTATTTGAAGGTTCAATATTGGGTAATGTATCTGCCCTAAAGATTTAGACGCAGTTGGGCTGGAAACCACTTCCTTGTAAGCACTACCGAATTTCTTACGAATTTTGCAATGGTCTTTGCAAGATTTCCGCACGTAGACCTCTCAGGGAATCCACGGCATCGTCTGCAAGCTGTCTAAGCGTGCATCCATTATCTAAGCAGTTATCAATATCTTTGATATAGAAATTATAAAGTAAGGGATTTAAACATGAACCTTGGGGTAAGCCCATTTAGCTAATTATAGAAGTTGTCAGTTGACCTAGATTGAAGGTCATTTGTTTTTCTGACAGCAAATTATTCAAGAAATTATTGAAAATACCGGGTAATCCACTACTGTGCAGACTGTCTAACAGTATGTCTATGGAAACTGAATCAAATGCGCCCATAATATGCAAATAGACTGAAGGCAATTGCTCCTTGTGCGCAAAGGCCAGTTAAATATCAGATGAAAGCATCGCTAGACAATCGTTTGTTCCTTTACTCTTTCGAAAACCAAACTGCGTATTTGAAAGTAGGTTGTTTGATTCAACCCAATGGTCAAGTCTTGATAGGATCATTTTTTCTAATAATTTCCTCAGGCATGATAACATAGAGATTGGACGGAAAGAATTGTGATCAGACGCTGGTTTTCCAGGCTTTTGAATAGCTATTACTTTAACCTGTCTCAATGCTGGTAGAACTATATTGGATTCCATAAATGAACTATTTAGGTTAAGTAATCGTCTTTTAGCGATATCGGGGAGGTTTTTTACAAGGACGAATTTGATCATATCGCTTCCCGGAGCAGAGTTATTAGATGAAAGAAGTGCCATTGAAAATTCCAGCATTGTGAATGGTTCATCCAGGGAACCGTTACTTCGGGCTGTATCCCATAAAGTTGGTTGTGCTGGTACAGAGTCTGGACAAACCTTTTTAGCGAAGTCGAATATCCATTGGGAGGAGTATTCTTCACTCTTATTGGAAGATGAGCGGTTTCGCATATAGCGAGCTTTTTTCCAAAGCGTTGCCATCGAGGTTTCTCTAGAAAGTCCCTCGATAAAAGTACGCCAGTAATTTCGGTTTTTTGCTTTTCGTAGGTTTCTAAGCTTTTTTTTCAAGCTTTAGATACTTTTCAAAAAGCTCAGATCATTCATGTCTACGATAATATTTAAAGGCATCGGATTTCTCAAGATACAACTTTGTGCATTCGTCATCCCATCCAGGGGTGGCGGGTCTTCTTTTGAAGGACGCACTTCGAACACGTCGTTTCTATGCTTCTAATGCGCTTTTGTAGGTCAGTTCGGCAAAGAAACTATACTTTTCCAATGGTGGAGGATCGGTAGAGTCAATACCAAGAGTTACCGCCGATGCAATTTTTTTTTTTCAATCAATATTCCTCGTGAGGTCAAAAGGAACTTGAATTGACTGATCTGATTTTTGACGACCAAATGATTGAAATAATAATTGGTGAGTGATCACTACCATGGCGATCATTGATTTTTTTTTTCCCTTGGTTTGTTTTTTCCGTCGATCTTGTTTTCCGTGCTAAGCACCAATGCTACCGACGTGCCAGGAAGGCAGCTCCCACACCTGGACCCTACCTATCGACCCATCAACTCATGAACCGGGGACCAACGGCTTTACTTCCCATCCGAAGGAAGGCGTGATCAGAGATGTTATGCCTCAGAACATCCCGGCGGCGCCGACTGGGATTGAACCCAGGCCTGCTGGAGTGAGAGGTAATCACGCTTACCACTACACCACCGGCGCCGTTGAGTGCAAATATATCACAATCAGAATTGTGAATCAAATACTTGAACGAGTCTAATTTAGGTATTAAACTAGTAATAAAGTGATGATATCTTGATCATCAATCGACGAATTATCCATCGAAAGATATGAATTCACCAATGAGGGGCCATGATACAGTCAATTGCTTGAAGTAGTTTGCGACTATAGGAACAAGCAGGTCAATAAACCTTCGAAGTGGCGATTCGTCGGGAAAGCCGAGGGCATTCAAAATAGTAACCACAATGTCCTTAAATAGACGTGGTGTTTATTTTTGGTACCCTCTAACTATTACCTTTATTAGGCAGCGGCGGGGTGGAATAACTGCAGCAAGGATCAGATGGAGCAGCAATTACCGATTTGTTCGGCTTTTTCAATAAATCTCCGCTACCTCCAGATTTGTGCAAGCTTTTGAGAGTGGGTTTAATTTTTTTCCGGCTCATTCCCGGGGAGCTAGTCGGCTTCCTTTTACCGGGGCGTGTACTTACGGAGACTCACTCTCATCTGCTATATCAGAGTCCAGTTCATCGGAAGACAAAATCTCATAAGTATTTCCACTTTGTGCGGCTGATGCCAACGAAGCAGAGGTTCCATTTTCCAACTTAACCATTTCTGCATACGTCAGCTTAGAGCGTATATCTCTATGGAACGCATCACATTGTTGGTACGCTTCTTGTACGCAGGTCAGTCCTGCAAAGCATGAAGAGATTGTTTGCCACAGTAAGCACATTTAATTGCTTCCTGTTGGCAAGCACCCTCCAAGTGGTCTTGGATACATTTGCCACAACGGGGCTTGTTGTCACAAAAAGCTGTTGTGTGTCCCAACCTTTTGCAATTGGTACAATTATATACCCTTGGTACAAAAAGTCACATCGGGAAAAAAAAACATTTTCAAACTCTAAACATTTTGGGAGAACCGATTCCGCAAATGACAC